AAAACAGGGATAGTCTCTGGGATTCTTTAAATGCTCCTGTACAAACCACTTTCTTGCTAAGTATATTTGGAATTAACCTATAGAAGAAACAAGGTGGATTTTGGATGTTGTCATTAGAATGTCATAATTACGGCTGCATGGCAAATGTCAAGATAAGAGATTTATACATAAACATATAAACACAAGTAATGATTTTAAAAGTTATAGTATGACACCTCACTATCATGAGTGATTTACATAGTTAATTATCTTCAAATTAAGAATGTGCTGAGACAATTTATGGCATGTTTTCTCTGTGTTGTATCAAGAATAATAGTGATAGAGTTTAAAAAAAAAGAATACTGTAAAAAGATACATGCAGGAACTTCCCTGGCTCCAGTGGCTATGATGCTGCACATCCAATGCAGGGGCACAAGTCTGATTCCTGGTCAGGCAACTATGACCCCATGTGCCATGTGGCCAAAAAATAAATTTAATAAAAAAAGATATATGTAAAATATCAGTTCCATCTCATCTGGTGTGACAGTCATGCTGTTATCAATTTAATAATAAAATCACTGCATTCTTTGGCCAATCCCAAACGAGAGCAAAAAGCTCATTTGAACAGTTTTCATGTTTTGTCATTCATCACTCTGATGTGTCATCCAAACGCATCTGTCTAATAGTTTTACTGAGATATAATTCACACGTCACACACTTCACCCACTGAGTGACCACAGTTCAGTGGTTTTTAAGCACACACAGTTATGTTACCATCACCACAGTCAAGCTGAAAACGTTTCATCATCACCCGGAGAAGCTCTGCACCCATCAGCAACCACCCTCCCTTCCCCCCACCGCCGCTGGCGCCACGTTCTGCCTCCACGGATCTGCCGGCTTGGGACGCGTCACATCAGAGGCGTCAGAGACACGTGTCCTTCTGTGTGTTCCTCCACTTAGCATGAGTCAAAGTCCATCCATGCTGCGGCTTTTATCAGTACTCTATTCCTTCTTACTGCCGAATAACACTTCTTGCACAGATATATCACACACAATTAACCCATTTGTCAGCTCTCAGACATTTGAGTTGTTCCTGGTTTTGGCTACTAGGAAAAATGCCACTCTGAAAATCTGTGTACAATTTTTATATAGACATGTGTTTTCATTTCTTCTGAATATATACCTAGGAGTAAAATTGCTGGGTCACATGGTAATTCTATGTTGAGTCTTTAAGGAAATGCTAGAATGATTTCCAAAGTGGCTGCATCATTTTCTCTTTCTACCAGCAGTGTCTAAGGGTGCAAATTTCCCCAAAACCTTGCCAACACTTGTTATTATCTGTCTTTCTGATCGTAGCCATCCTGGGGATATAAAGTGGTATCCAAATACATTTTTAAGATACAAAAATATGGCGCTTCCCTGGTGGTTCAGTGGTAAAGAATCCTCCTGCCAATGCAGGAGATGCAGGTTCGATCCCTGGTGGGGGAAGAGCCCACATGCCGCAGAGCAACTAAGCCCACGCACTGTAACGAGAGAAGCCCCCACAGCGAGAAGCCTGTCACCACAGCTAGAGAAAAGCCCACACAGCAACCAGGACGCAGCAAAGCCAAAAATACATACATATGTCTAAAAAATTTTTTATTAATAAAAAAAAAAAACCCTGCTCTTGTTAAGGTCATCACTCAAAAAAAAAAAGATATTAAAACATGCAAATACACTGGGCAAGGAAGTAAATCTTTTAGGACAAGGGAAAGCACAAAGAGATTAGGAAAATGATTCCACAGTCAGGCTAGAAAATAAAGCAGGATATGTCTTTAAATGTTACTCAATTTCATACCCTTATGCAACCAGCTGCCCTTACCAAAGTGTCAGGACTGTGGAGCCAGCCCCCAGTTTCACATCTGGAGCTTATAATAATCATAGCAACCACTACTCTTGATTTATTGATTTATTTTACAAAGTTCCTTCCCACGTTATGCTCAATTTGATCCAAAACCACAAATCTTACTTGGAAGAATATTCCCATTCTGCAGGCACAGTCACTGAGGCCCAAAGCGAGTAACTGACTTGTAAACATAGTTAAAAATAAATACATCATCCATATATGAAACATCCATATATACATTCATAAACAAATGTTAAATAGCATTCACAGAGCTGGACCTGGAAGCCAAATTCTGCATTTACAATACCAATCATAGTGCCTCCTTTCCTCATCACGTTTATTTGCCTCATCTTTCATGGCCCAGAAAGCAATGGAAAGGAAAGAGAAGGAAGAGAGCAATTCTGTGTGTGTGTCTGTAAAGCACCCAGAGGCAGGAAGCCTGGACATCACAAAGTCCCCACAATCAGTCTGTAAGACAGCAGTATGTGAAAACATGTTGTGATCATGACAGCAAGGAGGTTTGCATCCCTACTCCTCTGTGGGAGGTTCCTCTGGTAACCAAGAAGCCACTGGCGTGCACGGCCACTCAGATCCCTCAATTCCGAGTATTACGGTAGTCTATTTAATTACAGACACTAGTCATTCAGACAGCTGAGGAACAGATGTGTACTTGGTACTCGGCACAGTGCTAAGATGGTAGAGATTTTTAAAAAGCAATGATGACACGGTTCTGAAGCAAAATTCAACAACTAACATTTACTAAGCCTTTTACAGGTAGCATCTCCTCACTCAATCCTCACAAAATCCCTGCAAGAGAAGGGAAACTGAGGCACCAAGAAGTTAAGCAAACCGTCCCCAAGTCACAGGACTAATAAATGGAGGAGCAGGAATCAGAAGCCCCAGCAAGCTGGTTCTAAACCGGTGTTCTCAGCCAGCAAGCAGGCCTTCTTGCTAGATCCGGCTCAGCTGGAAGGCACGTGGGGTGACACAAGGCGACCAATAACCTCATTAACTATGACAACCCCCAGCTGAATGCTCCTTAACACCTGAAGCCCAGAGGAAAGTCATCAACCTGTGGAGTGCTCATCTTGCCTTTTTACAGGTGAGCAGACAAGCCCAGACACGTGAGTTCACTTATCCAAAGTCACAGAACCGTCACATTAAGGCTGGCATGGTGCTGACTGCAGGACAGGTACTGCTCCAAGCACCAACTCAGCTACTGACCCCTCATCACACCACCAGGAGGCAGGTTCCATTAGCAGCCCTCCTTCCTAGTTAAGTAACTTGTCCAAGACCTCCCGCAGCACCAGTAAAAGTAGCAAACCTGATACAAGGGGCTTTAAAGTTCTCCTCAAAACAACTTAATGGTGACTCTTGGCAACAAAGTAGCTGCGCAGAAGTTCAAACCCAGGTCTACTAACTCCAGTGAGAGGGAGTCCTCTGTCTTCCTACACTAAACCTGCCTCAGCGCAGAGGGGTGCAGGGGGAAAGAGGGGAAGTGTTCCGGGGACCCACCTAAGGATGGGGCAATCACGCCTGTGATTGAAGGAGAAAGTGCTTTCTGGAGAGAGGCACCATGCAATATTTTACTTTTTTTTTATTATTACTTTTTTTTATTATTGAGATGATAGTTTGAGTATCCTTTGGAAAACAATCTTTCATGTGATGTATTTTTTAAATGTCTCTTATTGTAGTAAAAGTCACATAATCTAGAACATACCATTTTAACCATTTCTTTAAAGGAAGTGAAATGTACTCAATTGAGCTGATAAATTAAAATGTTAGTGTTTCAAATTGAATCAGAAAAGTTTTACTTTGATTTTTTTTTTCAATTTGAAAATCTCTTGATGGAAAAGAAGCTTTTATTCTCTTGGATTTTGGCTATATATTAAAAACCACCAAGGAATAGAAAGTGCAATTTGCCTTTAGTAACGTTAAACTCAATTAATTCTGACCTCCAATATTTGCTTCCTCAATCTAAGAGCAGCAAGGAGAGTGGTTCCCAAACCTTTAGGGATCTTTGCAAGGGTCTCTCTCCTCCGGGTTCTGAAACCAGCGTTTTAGACACCAAAACGAACCTGGAGATTCAAGCCAACAAGGAGAAGGCAGGGGCGCGCATGCCGTCTGACGGGATTAGCGGCCCACAAGCAAGTGGCTCTGACGCTAAAGCCAAGGAGTTCTGTTTTCCCTGGCAAACCGATCTGAGACCACAAGCCCAGCAGCTGCGGAACCGGTCAGACCGTCAGCACAACCCTCAGAGACGCATCCAAGGACCGCGACGGGATAGGAGTGATGGGGTCTGAGCCCGAGGCCCCGCCGGTGCCCGGCGCGGGGACGCAGTCAGGGCGCAGCGGCCCGGGCCAGTGCGCTCCTCCCGAGGCGTGCGCGGGGAGCGGGCCCGGGGACGGGGCGGGACCCGAGAGCCGACCCACGGGCGCGTGCGGACGCCGGCTCAGGCGCGGGGTTTCCAGCCTTCCGTTCGGGTCCATAAAGACCTTTTGGGGGGAGCCGTGATCAGCCCCGCTTCACAGATGATGACACCAGGGCTCAGGGCAGCGACGCGAAATCTGCACCTTAAGTGACGGCTGGCGGCTTCCCCGCGGAGGACCGGGGCCGCGGCGGGGCCGGCTGCGGGCTGCCACGCGCCCCTCGCGCCCGGCTGGGCAAGACCCCGGCGCCCTGGCAGGGGCGCGCGCGCCCACCTCCCGAGGCCCCCGCGGCCCCCGCTCCCGCCGCCCCGCGCGTCCTAGCGGCGGAGGGCTGCAGGAACCGGGCGGCGTTGAGGCCGGCTGCGGGCTGCCCATGCGCCCCTCGCCCCGGCCCGGGGGCCAGGCTGGCAAGACCCCAGAGCCTTCCGCGCGCCCACCGCCCCCGCCGCCCGAGACTCCCCGCCGCGCGTCCGAGCAGCGGAGGGCTGCAGGAACGGGGCTGCGGTGAGGCCAGCTGCAGGCTGCCCATGCGTCCCTCGCCCTGGCCCGGGGGCCAGGGTGGCAAGACACCGGAGCCTCCCGCGCGCCCCCCTCCCGAGCCCCGCGCGCCCCGCGAGCCCGCGCCTGCCCGGCCGCAGCGAAGCCGGGGCCAGTGGAGCCGCGGGAGCGCGGCGCCCCGCGAGCCGCGGCACGGCCCCCCGCCTCACCGCAGCTGCTCGCCGGTGACCAGGACCTCCGCCATGCGCTCGAGCTCGCGCTGCCGCGCCCCGCCGTCGCCGCCGCCGCCCCCCTCCATGGCCCGCGCCTCGCCCTCCGTCTCCGCTGTCCGCCTTGGGCTCGGTTCCGAGCCCCAGCCTGCCCGCACTGACGCCGCCCCCGCCATGTTTGCTGGGGGCGGTGCGGAGCTCACACGCCATTGGCTGCCGCGGGGAGGCGGTGGGCGGTGCCCGGAGAGCCCGCCCATCTGGGGCGTGGCCGATCCCCGCGTGGCCGGGGGCGGGGCCGAGAGGGAAACATCAACACGCGGCGGGGCGACTCTGAGCGCGGGCTGAGCCTGTGGGTCTGGTCCGCAGGCCCCTCCTTGATGCGCACAGCTGGTCTGCGAGGTCCTGGGCACGGGCGGGGAGGCTACTACGCAAGGGTGCCGGCATTTTTATTATGTCGTCCACGTCCCCGACTACCAGGATAGAAACCATCATTTCCCTAAGCAGTGAACTGGGAAGGGTGTACACGTCATTGAAGGGCTTCAAGAAATTAACCATGCTTATCGGCCAACCTAACCCTGTCCATCACCAACTCCCAGAGCTTGCTCAAACTCATGTCCATCGTGTCGGTGATGTCATCCAACCTTCTCATCCTCTGTCGCCCCCTTCTCCTCCCGCCTTCAATCTTTCCAAGCATCAGTGTCTTTTCCGGTGAGTCAGTTCTTCGCATCAGGTGGCCAAACAATTGGAGTTTCAGCTTCAGCACCAATCCTTCCAATGAATATTCAGGACTGATTTCCTTTAGGATGGACTGGTTGGATCGCCTTGCAGTCCAAGGGACTCTCAAGAATCTTCTTCAGCACCATGGGGTAATCAATGAAGAATGCTGGATTGGAATCAGACGAACTCGGGATCCAGTGGCATTCCTATAATTTCCTAACAAAATATGCTTAATTCCCAGTTTCTTCCTGTACAAAATAAAAATAATCGTGGTTTCCACGTTGTTGACATCTGCTGCATTAAAGATGCTTCAGGTGGTTGTTACCTCCTTTAATCGCAACAAATGGTAAAATGAGTATTGCCCTCATTTTACTCAGGAAGCAGGCCCAGAAACATGAGGCAACTTGAGCCTCATTGTCCAAAAACTATGAGAATCATATATAACATAAGTATGGTGCCCAGGGTTAATTAGATCAACAGCTTGCTTTTGCTCCTGTTTTTATTCTAAAATAGCTACGAAGACTATCAAGAGCTTGCATGAATTTCACCTTCAAACATGCAGGTTCTGTCTTGAGCCTGTCATCTACTAACTTTGCGACCTTATTCTAGTTACTTAACTTCTCTGAGACTCAATTTTCTATCAATAGAGCAGGAGTAATTCCTACTTTATAGGGACGTTGTGCGACTTAAGTGAAACAACATTATGTAGAGTCCCCAGGTGCATGCTGCGTGTCCAATGGCTGTCCTCTTTAGCGTCGTTGTTGTTTGCAGTACTTTGTTGACTCTCTGTTTCTGGCTGTGCTGGGTCTTCCTGCTGCTTGGGTTCTCCCCTGGCTGTGGAGAGTCGGGGCTACTCCATTGCAGGGCCTGGGCCTCCTGCTGCTCTCACTGTGGGGCCCAGGCTCCAGGCTCGGGGGGCTTCGGCTCAGGCTTGGTTGCCCCGCAGCACGAAGAGTCTTCTGGAGCAGAGAGGGAACCTGTGTCTCCTGCATTGATTGGCAGGTGGATTCTTAACCACTGGACCGCCGGGGAAGTCCCTCATTATTGCTTTTAATATGAAAAAGAAGAAGATAAAGAAGGAGAAAAAGGCGAAGAAATTCTTGCCAGATACTTTCCATTGTGTTTTTGTTTCCAGACAAATCCATTTTTCTCAAGTTATCTCTAATTAATATTTGATTATTAATAGGCCTTCAATATAAAGAAAAGAGAAGGCAGACCTGGCCCCACTAAATCTCTCTTTGATTAATAGTTTTAAGCTTTTTGAAAGTGTAAAATGAAAAAAAATTAACCTATTCCTAATTATTCATTGTTCAAAGAATATTTTGTTTTATCCAAAAGCTCTAACTACATATTGTAAATCATATCACTACTATGATTGTCTTCTGGCTTTTCTCCCTTTAAATCTAGTCATGTTTTCATTTGAATTCAGACAGCTTTCTTCATCTGAAAAATGAAAATGAAAAAAAATTATGTAAAATATTTTCCTGTTTAATAGTTTGTGATTAAAACTTCATGATAAAAACTTTTATCATAAAAGTTTATGATTAAAAAAACTATTTAAAAAACACCTTAACATAAGGGACGGAGGGGGGGGTGGCAATCAAGTCAGTAGTATACCTGATACCACTACTCCAGTGAGAGGTAGTGTGGAATTTACTTTTCATGCTCAGTGAGAAGGTTCTGTGTGTGTTTGTGTGTGTAGATATGAACAGGAGTTGAGTTGCCAGTGGGCTATTATTGTTTTCATCTTTCTTTTCATGTAGGAAACACACCATGTTCCACTTGGCTAGAAATCAGACCGTTTCTCCTAACTAAGGGGAAGGTTCGTGATCTGACTCCAGAGGACCTGTGAGCACAGCTGGCCCAGAGCAGCGTGTGAAGAGCAGGTGCCCCTGAACGAGAAGAGGGCGCGGACACGGCGATCCATCCCGGATCTCCAAAGGACGGAAAATTCCTGTAGATCGTGGTTTGATTCCTGGCTCCACTGAGACAAGTTCATTATCTTTTCTAAAATTCGTCTCCCTTTGCAAAAGCTGGATAATACCACCAATCCCACAGGATTGTTGGAAGGGTTAAATAAAATTGAATGGGCCCGCCTGTCACAGACAGAAGCTATTAAACCTGTGCCTTCTGCTCCTGCTCTCCCTATTCACGTGCATCATGCCTTCTTGTGGTTTTCACGCTCTCGGACCAGTGCTCCTCAGATTTGTGGTCGATATGGATTACCTGTGTGCTTGCACGGGCATATGTGTATGTGCGTTTTTAATCCATTGAAGACTGGCACTTTGGCAAAATACAATAAAAATGAATTTTAAAACACATGCAAAGCAGAAGCCCCCATTTTTTACTGTTTGGCGAACGGACAGAAAATTGTCAAATTGCTATAAACATTTCTAAACGATTTCTCTCAATATCTGTGAGTCTGTGTCTCTCCATACAGGTAAGTGTTATCAGCTGGCAGACCATGCTTTGAATAGTTCTGGAAAAGGGGTGAACAGCAGTGTGAGAAGATGAATAAAGTCTGTGAAAAAATACTGTTGACTACAAACTTAATAACATGTTAACTATCATTACTGTTTGGAGAAGGAAATGGCAACCCACTCCACTATTCTTGCCTGGAGAATTCCAAGGACAGAGGAGCTTGGCGGGCTACAGTCCATGGGGTTGCGAAAGAGTCGGACACGACCGAGCAACTCACACACACATATTACTGTTACTGCCTCTTTGTATACACCTATATTATTGCCACTTGATCTTAAAGATGAACTGGAATCTCACCTCTGTGCCATTTCTTGCACTCCCCCAAGTGGCTTGTGGCTTCTGTCTACACATTCTCATGGTATTCAAAGATGTTCATTATTCTTAACCATTAATACAAGTCTAGAGTCTCCAGCTGCCACGTATTTATTCTCTTTCTGGGAATGGAAGTAGATTGATGGCTTAACAATATCCTGTCCAGATCTTTCTGTTGATCCTTTAAGGAAGGGAAGTTGTCTTTAAAAGTTAAATGTAAAAATAGAAGAAAATTAAATTCTGATGTGTTCATCATTCACACTAGCTTCAATATTTTTGCCACCATTTTGTACCGATAGAAATAAAACATTACCAACAAATTTGAGGTCCTCCTGTCTCAGTCCAGATCATTCCCAAGTTCTTGACCTTGTGTCAGAAATACTTAACTTTGGTATATGCTGCCACCGCGTGATTTTCTTTTGCAATGACACTAAATGATACAAGACCATTCGGGTATGACCTAAATCAAATCCCTTATGATTATACAGTGGAAGTGACAACTAGATTCAAGGGATTAGATCTGATAGACAGGGTGCCTGAAGAACTATGGACAGAGGTTCGTGACATTGTATAGGAGGCAGTGATCAAGACCATCACCAAGAAAAAGAAATGCAAAAAAGGCAAAATGGTTGTCTGAGGAGGCCTTACAAATAGCTGAGAAAAGAAGAGAAGTGAAAGGCAAAGGAGAAAAGGAAAGATATTCCCATTTGAATGCAGAGTTCTAAAGAATAGCAAGCAGAGATAAGAAAGCCTTCCTGAGAGATCAATGCAAAGAAATAGAGGAAAACAATAGAACAGGAAAGACTAGAGATCTCTTCAAGAAAATTAGAGATACCAAGAGAACATTTCATGCAAAGATGGGCTCAATAAGGGACAGAAATGGTATTAACCTAACAGAAGCAGAAGATATTAAGAAGAGGTGGCAAGAATACACAAAAAAACTACACAAAAAAGATCTCCATGACACAGATAATCACGATGGTGTGATCACTCACCTATCAACAAAGCTTGTGGAGGTGATGGAATTCCAATTGAGCTATTTCAAATCCTGAAAGATGATGCTGTGAAAGTGCTGCACTCAATATGCCAGCAAATATGGAAAACTCAGCAGTGGCTACAGGACTGGAAAAGGTCAGTTTTCATTTCAATTCCAAAGAAGGCAATGCCAAAGAATGTTCAAACTACCACACAATTGTACTCATCTCCACAGTAGTAAAGTAATGCTCAAAATTCTCAAAGCCAGGCTTCAACAGTACATGAACCATGAACTTCCAAACGGTCAAGCTGGATTCAGAGGAACCAGAGATCAAATTGCCAACATCCACCAGATCATCAAAAAAGCAAGAGTTCCAGAAAAACATCTACCTCTGCTTTATTGACTATGCCAAAGTCTTTGACTGTGTGGATCACAACAAACTGGAAAATTCTTAAAGAGATGGGAATTCCAGACCACCTGACCTGCTTCTTGAGAAGCCTGTATGCAAGTCAAGAAGCAACAGTTAGAACTGGACATGGAGCAACACACTGGTTCCAAATAGGAAAAGGAGCACGTCAAGGCTGTATATTGTCACCCTGCTTA